GCGAAAAAAAAATTTTACTCTAAGTTTGCATTGCCTGCACCTTACAAGAATTTTCAATATCTTTATTCCGATACACTGCAGTGTCTCTATTCGAATATATCTTTACCATACACAATACTTTTATTGTTCATTTGAATCTAATTTTTCATTCACCTTGAGTTACAGAACTTTCGTAAATGAGGTATTTTATTTTTCAAATTACTCCATTGTTTATGTTCGATGACCAATGCAATGATTATGAATGACATAAAACAGTTTCGTTTCAAGATATTCAATTTGCTGAGTTGATACCTTAGATTCAATTTCAATCATATCATCGAACTTTTTGAAAAACCAGCAGAAATTCAATTTTCTCGCCGATTATAATTGTTCCGAGATAACGCTCAAGGTAATAGTCTATATCCGGGCGTTCATCTATACGCCCAAGTTGTATAATAATGGAATTTGTTCATGTTTCAAATCGATTTTCTTTCACTATTAAAACGAAACAGTAGCCTACAATTTAGAAAATATTTTCATTGACTGTTTCATTCTGGATTCGATCTTATGTTCATCATTATTATGCTTTTTCTCGAGTTGCTATATTGTTGACTTTGAAAGAGGATTTTCTACGAGTTTCTATTGACTCACAGATCGAATTAGACCTTTCATACAATCGAATGGAAATTTATTTATAACAACTTTACCTAAAAAAATTCTCATTATAAAGTGAATGATACAATTGAAACGATTGTCTATAAATTGTTCATCGATCTCTGGTCGGGTGAGATCACGTATAAACAATATTACAATGCATGTGCTCTAACATATTGCATGTGTATGTATGAGAAACGATTCTCTGTTCTCTTTACTCTGACAATATTTCTGAGTGCTTTTTATGGATTGTCAGCAGGACTTCGTCTTGTCATTCCAGTCATGGTGAAGCTAGTTTACAGTTATTTTTTATCATTCATCTGAAATTACTTGATATGTTCTATATTTTTTCTACACGTCCTTCTTACAATTCTCTTTTCACATTGCTTGCTAAAAGAATTATTGTATCATCTCATGTTTTCTTCTCTTTGATCATCTATGCATATTCTATTCATATTAGTTTTTTTTCTTAAATTAGTGTCAGTTTTGCTGGGCCAACTTATCTTTATGTTTTCTTTTCGTTGTTCCGCCTAAGACATACATACATACACAAGAGTATTTTAAAAAATATTAGAATACCCAAATTTTTCGATTTAGAAAATATCTTTTATACACATCATTCTTGTCGATTCACGAAGGATCACAAGAATTCAATCTTTTAGTCAATGAATTGGTTAATATGAATTAAACATAAATTCAAAAAGTTAGCTCGTCAGCCTCTAGCTTTTTATCACAATTAGTGTCTCTGTGTTTGCAATATGAAGTCGATTTACTGCGTTTTTTTCTACTCCGATTCAATGAAACCATGTGTAAAATGAGAATATTCAACTTGATCGATATTTTGAGGATAAACTTATGAAACTGTTATGGAGTTTTTTGAATGGAAATGATGTTTTGTAAATGTTCAAATACGACAAAATTACTTTATATGCAGATGGAAAATAATCTCTAACTAAATACTTTTATATAAGCTTTGAGTACTCGTATGGGTCATTCAAATGACATATTATTGAATAATGTCTTCTCTTCTAATAATAAAGTATTTTGATTTTCGCACTTCTGTATAATAGAGAAGATATTAATCTGGCTAACTTTGCTCTGAGACGAAAAAATCTATTTGAAAAACGAATCAAACAGTTTTTTAGAAAGTTAAATTCTCTATTCACTGACATGAAAATCAAAATTTAAAATAATTTAAAAATACTTTAAAAATTGAAAATAAAATTGGACCATGTATCTTGAGATAGGCATTATAATTCTTTATCTTAAACATATTTTACAATTTTATCAAAGTAGTCTTTAATTGAATTTTATGATGAGAGAAATTTTTCATTTCAGCAGCAAACTCTGCATCTCTGAAAGCGGCTGATGAGGTTTCCTCGTTAGTCAAGGAATAATAAAAACAAAAAAAAAGTTCAATTCTTTTCGAATTTACAACTTATTAGAGGCTCTACACAACATTCGCGGGTTGTCTTGAAGAGCTAGACTAGTACATTTTTTCTCAAGTACAATTACGGGTACGTACTTGTTCAATTTTGCTGTCTCAATCTGATTCTCTAATTGTTCCTGATAGATAATGGGTTGATAATAATAAACGACCAAGTTTTATATTTTATTTTTTCATTGCCTCAATAAAACATGCCACAAGATGCAGCGTGAAAAGCTTCGAAATCTACAATACCAAGCTTATTTTATAAATGTACTCTAAGTTTTCAAAATAGACGAAGTTGTATGAGATTAGCTTTTGACACAGAAAGCAAGATTTTTTGCAAGTACATGATGAATTTCTTTTTTTGATTTCATCAATTAACGAACCATAGTTTTTGCCTTTATTCTATTAACCACATTTCGTCATTATTTAGCAATTCGAACTAATGTTGTACAATCATCAATTATCAGTATAACCACTTTTCTTAGGTCTTCAGGTTTCATTGGTTTTTCTTTATTAAAATGCTATTTATTCTGATCCATCCGTTAATTTCTATGAATAAGTCAAAATGACTTTGTCAATAGAGCCCATCAAGTCGGAAAATTTTTTTGAACATATACCTTAGGGATGACTGATCCCATTTTCATACCTCAGGAAAAAAGAATATCATTATTGTTTTTGAACGACATCTAGCATGATGATGAATAATAATGTTTTCATGACGACAACTAAGAAAAAACAGTTTGTTATGAAAGTCATGGTTATTTCTGGATTCTTCTACAGTCTCACTTTTCATATAAATTAAGGCAAAAACAAAAAAAGATAATTTTTTTATTCTCAGGATGCTTACTGAAAGTGAAATGAATCGTAATATTATTCTTCTTGCTGATCCAAATAAAATTACAAGACAAAAAGCTCTTCAAAATCTATGTAATGATCTTAAATCATCATTATCTCTCAATGATAATAATAATGATGATCATTTACATCCACCATCAAATATAATCGAATCTATAATTAAAATATTCTCTGATCCAGCTGAAAAAAATCGTGATCTTTCATTAACATATATTTCAATGTATATTACAAAATATTGTACAAATGAAAATACTATTGAAAAAATTTTATCATCATTAATGCCAGCATTTGTACAACGACTTGGAACAAATGATATTATTGAACCATCAGAAGAAATACGTTTAAAATCTATATCAATTCTATCAGAACTTTGTCGTCTATATTCTAATGGTAATAAATTAGCATTATATTTAAATGAATGGATTAGTATATTAAAACGTACTATTATTGATCCATATCCAGAAGTAAGAAAATTAAGTTGTGAATTAACATCAAAACTTTCATTTAAATGTCATGAAAAATTTCATCTTATATCAGAAAATCTTATTAAACCAATTATAGAAACAATGAAACATCAACATGCTAAAGTACGTGTTGAAGCAATAAATGCACTTGGTAAAAGATTTGGCTTTGTTTTGTTTTTTGTTTTTAATGTATAAACATAATATTTATTAACTTTTGGTTTTTTTTTTTTTAGGAAATGTTATTCGATATGGAAATAATAAATCTGTTGAAGATAGTATATCACCATTAGCACAACGTTTTTTTGATCATACAAGTACTGTACGTCTTGCTGTTATAAATGTTGTTGGTATATGGATGCTTGAATTACGTGATCGTTATTCATATTTTCATATGATGTTACCACTTTTATTAACTGGTTATACAGATGAAATAGAAGAAATTCGTGAAACAACTGATTCACTTTGGTGGGATGTTGGTAAAGTTTGAAATAATAAAAAACAAACAAACAAAAGAATTAGAAATTTGTTAATATTTTTTTTTTCTTATTTATTTATTTAGGATTAAAATATGAAAAAGAAAATGAAGAAGATCTTAAAGATCAAATTAATTTTCCAAATATTCCAAAAAAATATCCACCTAATTGTAAGTTAATATATTCATTGATTTCTTTTTTTTTTTTCTCCTATAGTTTACCTACAGAGATTCAGTAGTAATTAATAGTTATTCATTTATGTCAATTATAATCTCTGTCAAAATTGTATTTTC